ACACATCTTTCTACAGTTGTCTGATAACATTGTTTGCTTTTCTAATAAATTGTTTATGTTGTCCATAGAACCTGTCTCATTATACATATTATATATGTAAATATTTGATATAACATGCATTTCTCATGTATTTATTTTCCATCTTAATAAGGATCTTAAGTGTTACAACATATGCAAACATTTTGACCAAGAATATATAATCCTCACAGATCGTGCTTTGATTTCTGACAAAAAGTTAGAGTCTTAAGAAACTGGATACAGCTTCAAATATTGATTGATATAGTTCAGTGTTGAATTTCAACACGATGGACACCTTATGTCAAATAAAGCTTAATATCACATAAAATATACTTCAGTGGTTTGATAATGAGAATCCATTTTGAAATTAATGAGGTTTAGAGACAGATTGAATGGGTAACAAAGAAAACTTTATTACAAGTTTAAAACAGGAACGGTTGTATAACATTTGGACAAGGTTTTTTCATCATCTGAAACCTTGTACATCTAAATTTGCCTAACGTTTTCTTCGTTACCCATTCAAACCGTATATAAAGTTTATAATGCAACTAGCATATAGCCCGTCAAAAATGACAGGAAAAGTACTACTACTCCCACCCCATAATATACTCTAATCTCACATTTCATAGCTAACTGAAATAAATATATTTTGCGAAATGAAGCTTGACCAACAAAGAGGCAGAAAAGTGCAGTCAAGGCAGTCAAAACGTCAGTAAATTCCTCTGTGAACCAATCAAAATTAGATCATTCATGAAATTTGTTAGGTTAAGAACTTCTAATATATAGAAATGCCAGTGCGTTTTGATAACACTACGTTCCAACAATGGCTTTTATGTCACGTTGCTTAGCAACCAAAGTATAACCTAATATCGCTGTTAGTCTATGTACTGAAAGTATAAAATCAAATGTATAGATAACAAAACTGGAAATATATTTGTTGATTCTTAATTTAGAGTCTCTGTTTTTTGTTGTTGTTTTTTTTGTTGGTTGGTTTTTTATTAAAAACATGGGTAATATAAGAGAAAATAGCTTAATTCAGAAAGGACTTAAGTTTAAAATTGAATCGATATTTTTACTTTCATGGCTAGGTGATCGCACATTACATCTTTACTTTAGGCTTATTGCACCAATACTCACTACATGTCACCCCTCTAACAGTCCCCCCTTGCACCCCAATCACTAAAATCGTAATGGGCAAACAGTAATCGAATTATTCTATCTGGATAAATGCATTTTGGTTTTTATGACTCCATGGCCAGATGGTTAGGGAGCTTAACTTGCAATCTGCGGGTGGCAGGTTCGAATCCCCGTCACACCAAACATCTTCGCCCTTTCAGTCGTGGGGGCGCTATATGTGACGGTCAATCCCACTATTCGTTAGTAAAAGAGTATCCCAAGAGTTGGCGGTGGGTGGTGATGACTAGCTGCCTTCTCTCCAGTCTTACACTGCTAAATTAGGGACGGCTAGCGCAAATAGCACTCGTGTAGCTTTGCGTGAAATTCAAAACAAACAATTTTATGACTCCTCCTATTTCGAGAAATCAAGCGTGACACGCTGGCTTTTAATTTTATTTAGGTTAGAATCGTTAGATAGTCCGCTCAGATAGATAGTTTAGTTTGTGAAACTAACAATCTAAATTCTCATTGTTTTTGAGATTACATGATGTAATGTTTGAAATTCTATTCTGTAATCGAACATTTTTATGGAGAACGAGCAACTGTTTTTGAAATCTTATTTTTTCGTGGTGTTTTAAAATGTTTTATTAACTTTTCTTTGGTACACCAGGATTCGCCTTCTGATAACTGTACACAAAAGTTGTACTTTCAAGTTTTAGTTTCAAACGTATTTGTAATATAAATTGTGTAACATAGGATTAAACCGGTTTCAGCGCGGTGTTATACAGGAATTCGCTACCCACACCAGTAAGATTTCCTGGTCATAATTTTAGTTTATTAAGCTTATTTTCTAATAATTAATATCAGAAATGTGGATTTTATTTTGATTGAATGTGATAGTTCCCCGTTCACTGCTTTTAATTTTATTGTACCCATTGGTATTACTATATGAGTGAGTATATTAGTATCATTACTATTCGAATTACTCTTACTTAGTATAATTACGTGAATGAAATGACAGACAGAAGTTTCTTTGGAAATGAAATAGAAGGTTACAGGTTATTCAGTTTTAAGATGGATACTAGAAGTTTTGGTAATATAGAAATGGTTGAGAGAGTGGAGAATAGCCTTTGGAATGGGCTATCTACAGATGCAGTGGTTGCAGTAAATTTGAAACAAATTTGAGAAAATCTTGATAAATATTTAAATGATAAGGGGTGGCATTGAGGATTTTTTATTTTTTTGTAGTTTTATGGATGGGTCAGCATAGATGGACCAACAGGTCTCTTGTTCTTAAATTTTGTTTGTATTTGTGAAATATGTTATTGTTAGTACAACTACAAGTAATAAAACATAGCGGTATACTTAAAGTTTAAGATATCAATAAGTTGAATGAAAACTTTTTGTATATGTAAGCAATGTATATGTATGTGACAAATAAAAAATAATAATAATGTTTTTAACTTCATTCAAAATCTGTATTTTTTAAGGAATTAAGTATTCCACTTTTTATATACATTATGCTGAGTATGCTAAGGCAGGCTAGACTAAATTCTGAACACCAGTTAGTTGCACCAGTTGTTCCATGTTTTACTGTGTCATTAACTTTTAGTGAGATTGTACAGCTAATAAGATCATGTCACACTATGTGCAAGGAAAGAAATTGCAGGCCATTTTTATTGAAGACAAAATATTCAAGAGGTTGAACTTATATGGGTTGCAATAAAGGGTTTCAAGAGAAGAAAGTTTTTAATTGACAATATTTTTAGGCCATCTGATTGAGAGAGAAAATGTCATTTCTTGAAGTTGAAGTGATTCAGGATGTTTCTTCATACCAAATGGTCAAAGAGCTGACAAGGAGGGGGATGGGGTGGAAATACCATTTCAGATTTATTGATGTGGTTGGAAGAGTTGAAGTGAGGAAGTATTTGGGGAAGAGTGATCATTGCATACTTAAGTTTAATGTTTTGCTACATGTTGAGATAAAAAGAAACTCAATTTTAGTTTTTCATTTTCAGAAAGCCAAGTTTGAGGCCATGAGACAAAATTTATCTTTAGCAAATTCTGAGAATGAATTAAAAGTTATTGTTGAATGTATTTGAGAAATTTTTAATAAATTACTTTTCATTTGAGATTGAATCATTTTCATGAATGAGGAAAAGGATAACAGGGAAGATCTAACTTAACTGGCTTACTTAGGACAAAAGAGAAAATCAAGATAAATACTTTAAGGTGACAGACAGGTTGGAAGATTTACAGAATTATAGACCCTCCCCCGATCTAATTTCATATTGATAGAATTCTTGGAAACAGAATGTCTTTGTTTGCAGTATTGGCACATCTTTGTATTTTTTTGCATTTTTAATGTTTATTATGTTAAGAAAAAAGCATAATTTCCTATTCTTTGTTATGAGTGATTTTTTATTTCACCAATCCAATGGACAGGTACTCCAGCTAGTAAAATATGAATATAAATCCTTTGTTGTTTCTAAATGTTAAACCCATCACCAAACATGTTTGCTATTTCAGCTGTGTATAATGTGATGCTCAATCCCACTAGTCCTTCTGCTAAATTAGGGATAGCTAGCATAGATAGTCCTCATGTATCTTCTTTGCAAAATTAAAAGAAATGAAAAAGTTAAACAATGCTGTTGCATAACTTATACGTATTCATGTACAAAGTTTATTGTTAAAAAGTAACTTAATTCTAAATTATTGTCTAAAGTCAAAAGACAGAGTTTCCTTTAGCTTTCCATATACTTTTTTTGCTACATAAAATTTTTTGAAATAAATTTTAAATCAATATTGTCATTTTCTGACATCGTTCGTTGTAATTCATGAAGAAGACAGGTTTATATTTTCATTTCTGTACAGCTGCAATGAGTTTTACATGTAAACAAAACAATCCACTTGTTAATTTTTTGGATAACATTTTTGTGCCTATCCAAGAAACTATCACCCCCTACAAGAATTCCCCTTAGTTTTTATACCAGGTCTTGGTTAAAACCCTGATATATTGTCACATCAGGTGGTTTTATCATTTACTAATAGAACACAGCTTTGAAAACAGCTATAAAACTTAAATATGATTGGGTTAATAAAAATTATATAATCATATAATAGTAAATTTATAGGTTTTAGAAGTTTTTGTAAATGTCCATTTCAGTTCCTTTTCATTTATGAATTGTAAAGGTATCTGTGCATTAAATTATATGTTTGAAAGTTACAGAAATTTTCTTTCATGAGTAGACATCAGATAACTTCAGATAAAGTAAACTAAACAGTTTAGAGATGGATTGAATGGATAAGAAAGTGTAACACTGCTAATGACAAAACCTTCTCCAAACATTGTAAGTCTTTTCTTCAGAAAACAAGGGTAAGAGGTAATTTTATCGGAGTTTGTAAGATTGTCTAAGGGATTGATAGGATAAAACCATCTGATTTCTTTCTCTTATATTTTAAAAATAATAGGATGAGAGGCCACAATTTTAAGATTTGGAAAAAAGGTAAAATATCATTTAAGGACAACAAGGAACCTGTTGGTCCATCTATGCTATCTCATCCACTAAAGTAAAATAAAAAATTCTTGAAGCCAACTTTTATCTTTCAAATATTCATCAAGCCTTCCTTTTTATTCAGTTAGATATAGCGCTGCCACTTTATCTGAAGGCTATCCATTCTAAAGGCTAACTACCCTTTTAGAAAAATACAACTGTCTTAGCTTAAGATGACTTGTACCTTGCCAAAGTTTATATTTGTGTCCCCTAGTCTTATCGTTCTTACCATTAATTATGAAAAATACAAGGCATGAACACCAACAATTCTCTTAATCTTAAACACCTCAATCAAAACCCCTGTAAACCTTTTTTTTCAAGATAAGAAAATTTCAGAGATCTTATATGACAACCTTTCCATACCAGGTATCACCTTAGTAGCCCTCCTGTTAACCCTTTCCAACAACTTAATGCCCTTCTAAGACTGAATAAATACTTCAAATATGGCCTGACCAGTGACCTATACAATGAAATTATAACATCTTTAGGTGTGTATTCATTCTTTCTGTAGATATAACCTAAAATTCTGTTTTCCCTACCATTAGCATGCTGCTTGGATGGATTAAGACATTGATCAACCAGAACATCAAGATTTCTTTCTCCTATAACAATGTTATGCTTAATTTCTCCAAAGTATACTTATAATTCAAATAATGATAACTCATATACATTATCTTGCATTTACTATAATTAAAAGCCATTTCCTGTTTATATGCCTAATTTGCCAAATGACCTCAATCCTTTTATAAAGCACCAACATACTTCTAACAGCCAATACCCAAGACCTTAATATCATCAGCAAATTAAGTAATTTATTTGACAATTCCTTCACCTGTGATATAGATGCAAACCAAAAAGTGAAGATCCTAACATTGAGCTCCAAGATACTCCACCAGATAGTTTTATTGTTCTAAGAGGGTAATAGCCTTATGAAATGAGTTGCCATTGGCAGTGAAGGTCAGCATTTTATAGGAATTTAAAAGGAGGATCAATGATTTCCTGAAGAATAAAGGATAGATTTAAGTTTTTGGTGTTGTTAATGGTGGGTGTGAAAGGACTATTTCGAAGGGCAAAATAATCCCATGTTGTCCATTTGTTGTTTTTAATGTGTGTGATTATATATATTTTAAACATTAAGGTAAAATAAACCTTTCTGTATTGAAGGACCAGGTAGTTCCACGTTGTCCATATGTTGTTATAGATTTGTGTATATATATGTGAAGGGTTATATTGTTTATATTTTAAACACTAAGGTAAAATAAAGCTACAGCCTAAAATTTGTGGGAAAAATCATTAGCTACAGGTGTTTTTTCAGAAACATTATTCTACGATCTACACCACTAAAAGTTATTAATTTGCACATGACTGCTGTGGAACTTCCTGTGCATGCTACAAGCCTTGAACAAATTCCCACTCTATGTATTGTGCCAGCCAGTGACCTAATCACCGTAATGCCATACCCTCCACCAATATGAAGGTGATACAACCTCCATGCTCCGTAATCCATATGAACACTAGCACATGATCATAGGCTCATTCTTTCCTCAGCAGTGTTCATGTTCAGACACGATTTTCTTGCACCTTTTAAGTTTCTCATCACTTTGATTGACTATTTTTCTTTATTTTGTTTTATATTACCTTTATACTTATTGTATTTTTGTTCCATACACCTGATTCCAATTTTGTTTTTTCTATAGCCATCACATTTTTTTCTTTCTGTTATATAAAAGGAAGAAAATTAAATAGAACACATTCACTTGTGGATTGCCAATTTGCCATAAATTCTCAAATCTACACTGCTTATATGTATGGAAACTCAAAAGTTACTATTCAGGACTCTTCTATGCCTGTATCAGCAGTGACTGAAGTCACATTATCTGTTCGTGATGTGAACGCTTTTATGAATCAGATGGTGGGTTCCCTTCTGCCTACTTCTCCAGTAGGTCATTCCATTTCATTGTCTTCTGTAGAGCCTTCCTCATCTGTGGAAGATTTTGATCAATTATTTTCCGCCTCCAGTTTTTGCTTCTGTTTATTCTCTTCGTGATGAAAAACAGGTATCTCTTCTTTCATTGTTTGTAAGACTCATTATTCAGGTATGTGAATTTTTCTCTTATTCACAAGTGAATCCTGATTACCCTTGGGTTCCTTTACTCCATGAGCTGACTTTCTCTTTTCCCCTCTTTCCCAGACATTTGTGCTCATGCTGATGCCTTTCTATCTCAATTTCTTGTTGATTAACATTTTCCTCATTTTACTTGTCTTCATAACTCCTTTTCTATGGTCATGACACTTTCAGGCCTGAAATTCATCATTTTCAGGGCAGTGCCATTTGGTCTTGGTTCTACCTCCTTTTTTCTAGGACATCAAGGCCATCATTTAAGGCAACAAAGCCAATGTCAATTTTGCCCTAGGGCAGAGGTTGGAAACCTGTGAGTCTCGGGCTATCTGCTGTGTCCACATTCCTAAAAATGTGTGTTGCAACCTTTTAAAGTGGATCCACACCATGATTGGATATTTAAGATAGGGACAAGATACCGTATGAACCATTAGAAAGTCTCCTTAGGCAACTTTCTTGTTAAGAAGTAGTTGGGTAACTTGCTGCAGTATAATTAATTTTGACAAATAATCTGTGCATTATTGTGTGGTTTTGATGCTTATTGATTATTAATATGTATTTCAAGGATTGTATTGTGATATTGGCTTACTCCTGTGAGTTGTTTACAAATATCAAATAGTGTTTTTCATGCAATATTTTATATTTCATGTATGTATCGGAGAGGAAGAAGCTAAAAGTAAGAATATGCAACTACATTAACAAAGCATAGCATGGTGTATTTTAATAATGAAAGGATTGTATTTTCTGCACAATTAAGGTTAATTAAATTCTACTAAGTATAACAAAATTATTCACTCTTTCCAGAGTTTTCTGTGGAAAATGTTGTTATTTACTGAACATGTAAGCCCTAATGATATCTGAACAAAATATGTATAAGGGTTTAACTAGTTTTAGGTTTAGGTTGATATTCCAAATGAGTTCATTACCATGCAGTGAAATATTAAGATAAGTGCATTAATACCGTATATTAGTAGTGAGTGAAAAATGAAATATTCTGTTGTTGTTGTTCTCCACTCAACTGAATGCAAAAAGTACCACTTAATGGTTTCTGATAGATATTTAAAATCACAGTTAAGTAGTATATATGATTCATGCATTTTTGTAGCTGTTTTTCTACTTTTTATGTACTAAACATAAATGACCAATTTTTTATAATTGTAAAGAAAACTGGAAAAGTAAATAGAAATATATTATACAAAAATAATACCGTACAATTCTACATTGCAAAAAAACTAGGATACATGCAGTATAGTAGGCACAACTACATAGGTGGGTGAACAGTCAAGGTAAAAAAATGCAATCACTAGCATGTTGCAAGACTAGTTGACTAGCTATTGTGAAATTCCTTGAGGAAATTTCATAGAAACAACACACAGTAGACTCGGTAAGGATAACAAGTATTACTCACCCAGATTGATATGAATGCTACATGGTAAGTCAGGTGCTGCATCCCTGTAGTGATTTTGAGCTTCCAAGTATAATATTCATGAACTTGGGATTTGTAAAACTTCCAGAAAAGATTCTCATTCCCCAATTATTCTACCCATTTTGGAAAATTTCAAGGGTCATGTTCATAAATTTACAACTGAAGCAACTATGTGGCACAAAAGAAACAAATTACTCCAATCAAAATATGATCTGTAATTATGGGCTTGGTGCATTATGTAACTTTACACTTAATGAACATTATAACATTAATATGTTTTACACTAAACATGTACTTGGACTATGATCTTGAATATTAGTTGCATAAATATATAGACTTCAGGCCAGTACTTTGGCAATTAATCATTTTTACCTAGTTTTTCACAATAATAAATACACACTAAAAATTATGTAGATGTGCAGTTTTTTAAGGTTGTTTTATGTTTTAATTAGGACAAACTGTATACCCACCTCTGCATGCTTTTCATTCTGGGTGCATAATTAGGATGATAACTTTGTAATCATTAGATTTTCATACATTGCTTTTCACAATTTATTCTATTTAATAATGGTATATGGGCTTTATATTTTGATGCTGTTTATCTTAATCTGTCATAAGTGAATACCTTTTTTACAACTTTAAAACATTTCCTGCTTTTATTCAGCAGTACAAGGTCTATGTGCATACTTTTATATTTTCTTGTTTATTTTAGAAGAATGTATATTTGCTTATTGTAAATCAATGCACTGTTACTGATGGCACCCCTCCTATAATTTCTGGAAGGCTACGAGTCTGTGCCCTGAAGGTTTCAAACATTTTTCTACCCTGTGAGTTCCAATTTATATTAAGTTGCTTGTGTTCTGTTCTAACCTGCAGTTAGCATCTCTAAGTATCACAAGCAACAAAACAGATTCATACAAAAATGTTAAACATTGAAGTTATATATATATATATATATATATATATATATATATAA